CAGGATACTACAGAACAGCGCTACGCCCTCTGTTGTCCTGGTAGGGAATTGCTTTGCAACACTCTCCAGGAGACGGAGAAGTATGAAGGCAAAACATCTCCGTGCATGCGTGTCTCTCCCTTTTGGAGCTGATGGAGAAGCATGAATCAGGCTTAAGGTTGGTTTATGCTTGACGCGTCCGCGAGGTCCGCGCGGAAAAGTTGCGTCATTTTAACAACCACGCCCCTCCGCCGCGCCTCCGCACGGCCCAGAATTTCTGCAACGTGCACCTCGGAAATTTCTAACCACGCGGGCGGACGGACGCGGAAAAACATGGCGGACCGGCAAGAACTAGTATGGCAGAGGTTCGTAAATACAGACATTTGTATGATTCAGCTCTCAGAGATCACCGTGATCAACATGTTGTTAATAATTCTTGGAGAGAAATAGCTCGCACTGTCGGAAAAGACGAGGACGCTGTTAAAAAATGCTGGAATGCCATGTTGTAAACAGTAATTTTTACTTCTACTATGGTGTAGTGTTGGATGCATGCCGTAGAGCTCCATGCTGCCCCCTACAGTTTGGGAGAATATTGGCTCACCGCAGAGAGAAGCCGCATGAACCATAAACGCTGCCAGTTGTGAAGCGCGTTCCATCCGCGAGCCGCATCACCGCTCGGAAAGTGAATGCGTCAAGCATAAACCAAGCTTAAAGCCTAAGCCCCCCCCCCCCCCCACACACACACACACACATACATATAAAACACCATTAAACGTCTGCAGCAGCATCATCTTGTGATGCCGCCTTCACATAGTTGGTAGAAGGTTTTGATGTGGGTGAAATAAACTGTTCTAATGAACACGAGGAAGCAAAGAAAAAAAATCATGTTGACTTTTTGATCCTTGTCCAGTGAGACAGAAACGCTGCTAACCCTCACAGACAGACGCCCTTGCTGCTTGGAAGTGTGCCAATGTTTTATTGGGAGAGCAAATGTCATTAAGTTGTTCTGTCTGTAAAAAAAAAATAAAGAACAGGAAGATAAATGTTAAAGTGTGCTTAAGCACGTTTAGTTTTGGTGGTTTTACTCTGACATTTCTGCTCCCAGCTGTGTTTTTACTCTAGTCACCTTCTGACCTGCAGATCCCACAGAGAGCAGTTTTTATTCAGTCTACTGCTGGGTTCATTATATAAGAAACTTTTTACTGATTGGCTTAATGAACCGACCTGTATTGGAATGTTTATTATGTTAAGTGCTTTGAGACGACTCGTTGCGATTTGGCGCTTTATAAATAAACTTTAATTTAATTGAATTTTATATATATATACAGTGTGTGTGTGTGTGTGTGTGTAAAAGCGCTGCTCATATAGAGCAGACACTTTATTACTGACTTGGATTTAACTGAAAAAAAATATAAAGTATAATTCATGGGAAATCAGCTTTTTTTTCAAACTAGCTTCCTTCATGATGCCTTTTATCTAATTCTGAAATTTTATTTGCTTTTTTATCCACTCACCTGCCTATTACTCAATAAAAACAATTCCTAATTACTTGGCTGTCTCTGCAAAAACATCTCATGAACCACAGGATGGATTTAAAGGTTCCATATCACGAAAAATCAAAATTTCTGAGCTTTTATCAAGTGGTATTGCCCCCCCCCCCCCCCCCCCCCCCACACACACACACACACACACACACACACACTTTTGGTTTCATTCATGCATTTTCCGATCTCAGCTTCAATTGTTTCTTAATTTTTCAAAACCTGCCGGCGGTACATAGTAGTCCAAGTGCGTCATCAGGCATCGCTCCTCCCCTTGAAGCTAACCTCAGCTCTGGAACCCACCTCCCCTGGAAGTAGGTCACTAACGTCCTCTTACTCCTAGCTGCAGGTGTAGAGCGGTTGATTTCATGCTGTAGTTGAGAATGTGACCCTCATGTCACAGATGAGTGCTTTAAACCTGCACTGGTACCAGAGTGGATATGCTGATAAATACTTCTGCACTGGGGACAAGACACCGCCGTGAAAATCACGCATTCTGTCCACAGACATGCGTAACGGCTAGCTCAGGACACGTGTTAGACGCCGAAGATGTTTCCTAACAGGTGTGGTAGTTCAGTAGCCTAGTGAACCAGACCAAATTCTTGCTTTGCAAAGTTTGCAAGGCTGGTAGTTCAGTGGTTAGAGTAACTGACAGACTGGCATGCTGTTTTTTAGTTTGACTCCCGGTTGCAACAGTAACTTTTTTCTTCTCCTTTAGCCGCACTTGCCAGTATTGTGTTTTTAACCCTTTATTGGTAAACAATTCAAATTATACGTTTTTTTTCTCCCCCTTTCTTTGTTTATTTAGCCAGTGTGACTCCATGTTAGGTCAGTAGAGTAAATCAATAAAATGCTGCTTGGAAACGACCAAATTCAAAGATCTTAACAAACACAAAATAATTTACAGAAAAGAATCAATAAAAGTAAAATATGAAAACATGAACTCAGCTTCAGCTGGCTACATAAATTACTGCCGACACTGGGAGTCGAACCGGCATCAGGACACGGAAAAACAACACGAAAGGCAGATGCTTTAGATTATCAAACACAATACAGCAACTGGCTTGCCTGCGATGCTGTTGTAGGCGTGTTTTGTCTGAGCGGATGTGGGCGGAGCTTCACTGAATCAAATCATTTCATTTCCTGGTATAAATTCAGGCTGAAAAAAGTAACTCATGTTTAAAATAAAATGACATCTCAATGGTGCCAATGGTAATATTTTATATAATGCAATCTGGCTCCTTTAATATAATTATTGGATGTGCATTTACAACTTCTGGAGTCAGTGTGATCCAGTCAAGAAGTGTAAAAGTTGTACAAACTCGATCGGTTTTACAGATTTTGAGCTAAAATCTGGTGTTCTAATAGTAAATAAGTAAATTTTATTTCTACAGCACTCATCACAGACATAGAATCACAAAGTGCTTCACATGGATCAAAACAAAAGAAAACAAAGTCACAAAATCATAAACAGATTAACATCATAACATCAAAATGCTCTCAAAACAGAATCAGATTAACGTCAGAAAAAATAAAGTCACAAAATTATAAATTTTTCATAAACGGATGAAAGATGAAAATTTTGAGTTAAAAATAAGAAAATAAAAGGTTTAGTCAAAAGCAGCTTTAAATAAAATGGTCTTTAGCTGTTTTTTAAAAGTGTCCAGACTGTCAGTGCTGTGTAAGGATAAAGGAAGATCATTCCAGAGTCGGGGTGCAACAGTCTGGAAGGAGCGATCACCTCGACTTCTATATCTTGTCATGTCTGCGTCTGTGACTTCCCCATGTGTCTCCTTATGTCCTCCATCCCTCTTTAGATTCCCCTTTTGTTGTCCTCTGGCACCCTCATGTGTCTTTTGTCTGCGTCCATTATGTGTCTTATGTTGGTAGTCCTTTAAGTCTATTCCTCCCAGGTCTTGGTCTCATTTACATTCTGTGTCCTTGTAGTCCCCAGCTTCTTTGTCCCCAGCTCTGTGTGTGTAGTTCTGATGGTGTGTGTGTGTGTTAGTCCTTCCCGCAGCCTCTTGGTTTAGTTTTGTGTTTTAGGTTATTTGGCCCTCCTCTGTTTCTGTTTGCCCATGTTGGTTATTAGATTCACCTGTCTTCCCTCCAGCCCTCACTTCACACACCTGCCGCCATTTTCCCTAATCACCTCCCTGTGTATATAAGCTCTGTCTTGTCTGTGTCTGGTGTCGGTTCATTGTTGTATATATATATATATATATATATATATATATATATATATATATACATATATATATACACATATATATATATATATATATAGATTCTGTCTGTGTTTGCTCGTGCTCTTGGTTAGCTTTATTTCTCCAGCCTTGGAGTTTTTGGACTTTAACTCGCTGCCTGGATTTATTGTGTTCACCCTTCCAAAAATAAAGGATTTTACTTTAATCATCTCCTGCCTCGTGTCATCCTGGGTTTCTGCAATTTGGGTTCTACCATCCCTCCAAAACGTGACATATCTGGTCTCTGGAACTTCTAGAAGGTTCTGGTGTGTGGACCTGAGGGCTCGGGTTGGGGCATAAGGCTTTAACAGTTCAGTAATAGAGGGAGGAGCCTGACCTTGTAGAGCATTGAAAGTTCTAGTCAGGACTCTAAAATGAACTCTAAAGTTAACGGGTAACCAGTGCAGAGACATCAGAATAGGAGTGATGTGTGCTCTTCTGTTTGCTCCAGTTAGGAGCCTTGCTGCAGAGTTCTGGACCAACTGAAGGCGGTCAAGGTTTTTTTTGTTAAAACATGTGAAAAGTGTGTTACAGTAATCTAGACGGGAGGAGTGTGGATGACCATTTAAAGTTCATGTTTTGACTAATAGCTAAGAGTCATCATCAACACATGCAATACTACAATCATGGGACTGTTTACAATGTTCTTATAAAAATATGAAACGTTGGTGTTTAAAACTCATGGGGAGATTCATTCAAGGTGTGCTAGACTTTTAAATAATAACGTAATGATCAAATATTGCAGTTTTTTACTCAGCTAAAAAAAAAATCCCATGACTTATGTGTCTGTAAATGGAAAATATTGTGTCTTGTTTTGCAGAGAATCAGAATATGTCCCCAACTCAAAGTCACATAAAAACCAAGTTCACCTTGAACTCATAAAAGTTTGTATTTACGGCTCAGATCTGTAGGAATAATACAGAGCAGAAAACTATTTAAGTTGCAGCAGCTTCGCCTTCTTTGTAGTAGTTTCAGGAAAATATTTGCTTAAATCCTGGACCCCCCCCCCCGTTTCTATGTGCCGACTGAAGTCGATGCAAATGATTCCAGGATTGCATTCCCACTCCATCATCCCTGCAGCTGCTGGCCTTGAATAAGTCTATTTCCATTAAAGCACCCATTGATTTGCGCTAGCGCCTTTGTCATTGCCGTGCTGTTAATGTAATTGAATTTTTTTCTCCCGCATGCACATTCACTCATACCAATGGTCTCTCTCCCTCCCTCCTCCTGCCAGATGTTGCGCGGGCTATCGAGCTGCTGGAGAAGCTGCAGGAGTCGGGGGAAGTTCCTGGGCACAAGCTGCAGTCCCTGAAGAAGGTGCTGCAGAGCGAGTTCTGCACAGCAATCAGAGAGGTGAGTCAGATGAGTCCTCCTCGTCCGTGACCTTTCTACACCGACCCTTCATCCTGCAAGTCTTATCATCTCTCTGCTCCCACGCAGTCACTGTGCCCCAGGTTGTGATGATTTTTTTCTCAGTCACCCTGTCGAAGTACTTTATCATCTCTGTGTTTTTGTTGCAGTCAAGAAATGGAAACAGTTGTAAAAAGTTTTCATGGATCTATCAAAAAGACAAATATTACATCTTGCAGCTTAAATGCAAAGCTGCGGTGGAATGCACATCGTCATCTTCCTCCACTTATCCGGGTCCAGGTTGCGGGGGCAGCATCCCAACTAGGGAGCTCCAGACCATCCTCTCCCCGGCCACCTCCACCAGCTCCTCCGGCAGGACCCCAAGGCGTTCCCGGACCAGATTGGAGACGTAACCTCTCCAACGTGTCCTGGGTCGACCCGGGGGCCTCCTGCCGGCAGGACATGCCCGAAACACCTCCCCAGGGAGGCGTCCAGGAGGCATCCTGTCCAGATGCCCAAACCACCTCAACTGACTCCTTTCCATCCGGAGGAGCAGCGGTTCTACTCCGAGTCCCTCCCGAATGTCCGAGCTCCTCACCCTATCTCTAAGGCTGAGCCCGGCCACCCTACGGAGGAAACTCATTTCGGCCGCTTGTATCCGTGTTCTCGTTCTTTCGGTCGTTACCCAAAGCTCATGACCATAGGTGAGGATTGGGACGTAGATCGACCGGTAAATCGAGAGCCTGGCTTTCTGGCTCAGCTCCCTCTTCACCACGACAGATCGGCTCAGCGTCCGCATCACTGCAGACGCCGAACCAATCCGCCTGTCGATCTCCCGATCCCTCCTACCCTCACTCGTGAACAAGACCCCGAGATACTTAAACTCCTCCACTTGAGGTAGGACCTCTCTCCCGACCCGGAGTTGGCAAGCTGCCACCCTTTTCTGGTCGAGAACCATGGTCTCAGATTTGGAGGTGCTGATCCTCATCCCAGGATGCACGTGTCAAATAAAAATGGCAGCCTGAAAAAATTTCACTTTCCAAGTTCGAGTTGCCTTGAGGTTAAAGGACTTTTTAAAAAGGAAAACAACCTTCAGTTGACATTCGTTAAATTTGGTTCATGTTTACTGTTTAGAAAGAAAATCAACTTGCTGGTTTTAGATGATTAAATGTAATTTAATACCCAACAAGTTTAAATTATCGTGCTGTTTCATTATATTAATCGAAGCTGACTGAGTTGGAAGAACTAAGGTGCACTAATTGGTTAAGCAGTCTGAAGCCACAATAACCGATTTAAACAGGCTTTTCTGTGGCTGTAAGTCATTATTTTGCAACATCAATCAAAATGCGACTGCAGCACAACGAATGCAGTGCTCAGCCTTATTACAGCTGATGCTCAGCTGCAAAACCCAGACGTTTATTTGAGCGTTTTTATTTCTCGCCCTGCACCAAACTTCCTTACCGAGCTTGTAAACGATCGCAGCCGGTAGAAAAGAGCCGGAGGGTATCATGAGCTTTTCATTACACTGAAGGTTTAATTACATTTATTTTGATTTAAGCTTTTAGAGATTTATTTTCTCAGGGACAGAGTTTGGTGGGAAGTGTAAAACATTCCTTCACCAGCAGACATCCTCCCCCTCGATTCACCTCTGTCGCACCATTCATCACGTGCACGAGGAGCAGCCTGATGAGCACATATGTCTTGTATGTTTACTGCTCCGTCTGCTGTGATGCGCTGCAGGAAAACAGGCCTTCTCCAACCTCCGTGCAGCTTTAAGTGAAATGCTTTAAACTCCAAGAACATGCAGGCGTTCTTATTGATACTGTCAGTCAGCCTTTAAATGAATGCTCCTTATGCTGCGCCGTCTGCACTGTACCTGCTCACCCCCTAACGTTGCCTTTTTTTCTGAAATTAAATTGTGTATTTTTTTCATTATATTGTCACATTGGTGTTGCTGTTCTTATTCTTGCTGGAAAGCGGATGGAATTGCCTCTGTTTATGAAATGTGCTCTACAAATAAAGCTGCCTTGCCTAAAGTTGAATTTAAATGCTTTGTTTCATGCATGAAAGTCGTAATTCTAGCAAAATCGTAGATGATTTTAGAATTTTTTTTAAATAAACTCTTAACACTTCTTATTTAGCAAAGGTTTCTCTATCATTTGATGTTTCAAAGATCCACTTAATAACATTTTTTTAATTATTATTATTTCTGATTACAATTAGGGATGGGTACCGAATTCGGTACTTTTTAAGGTACCGACCGAATTCCACAGTACCGACTGAGCACCGATTCACGTCATTTCAAACGGTGCCTCGTTTCGTTACCCGTCCATCATAACGAGAACTTGCCTAGACAGCTGCGCATGCGCAAGAGCGTTATGTCGTCGGTCGCTGCGAGCGAGTTGTAAACAGAGCAGCATGGTAGAAAGAACGCACGCTAACGCTTGGGTCCACTTCACTAAATGTGATGGGTAACTGGGTGATGATGAAACCAGCGACAACGATCTAAGTGAGACATCCTCATCTTAATCTGCTCCGGTAGGTAAATAAAATGTTTAAGATAACGTTAGCTTGATATGTTAGCTTCCATTTCGCTAATGGTGCGTTCGCTTTCTTCTCGGAACTCCGAATTCCCGACTAGAAGAACATGAACGCACTCTAAAGTTTGGCTTCACTTTACTAAATGCGACGGGTGATTGGGTGAAGATGAAACCAGTGACAACGATCGAAGTGTGAGGCGTCATCGTTTTAATCTGCTCCAGCAGCTAAATAAACTGTTTAAGATAACGTTAACTTGGTATGTTAGCTTCCATTACCACCATTGTTATCAGCTAATGGTGCGTTCGCTTTCTCCTCGGAAATTCTAACTTCCCAGAAGGAAAAATCTAATGAAAAAAGATGGCAAAAGGAATGAAGATACACAGTAAATTTAGTTCACAGTAAAGATGTTTGCTTCAGTTTAATTATCAGCTTATAAAACTACAAGGACGATGTTAAAATACAAACAGTTGTATGTTATTTATCGTGATATTTATTAAATATGGTTATTTATTGAGAAAAATAAATATTTAATTATAAAAGAGAATTAAAATAATAAACACTCAAAAGTATCGAAAATTGGTACCGTTAAGTACCGGATCGATTCCTAGGTACCGGGAATTAGTACCGGATCGATTCAAATGTCAAAGATACCCATCCCCAATTACAATACAATAATTAAAATAGTCTCCTACACATATCTCCTGCATTAGCTTCTGATAGAAAATGCCCTTGGGAACAGCGATCGGGTCGAGCTGCACCGGTCCGAATTGCTCTGAGTAGTGTTCCTGGAAAACCACCTTAAGTATCTCGGGGTCTTCTCCACGAGTGAGGGAAAACTGGAGCGTGAGATCGATTGGCGGATTGGTGCTGCATCTGCAGTGATGCGGGCGTTGTACCGGTCTGTCGTGGTGAAGAGAGAGCTGAGTCAGAAGGCGAAGCTCTCGATTTACAGGTCGATCTACATTCCTACCCTCACCTATGGTCATGAGCTTTTGGTAGTGACTGAAAGAACGAGATCGCGGATACAAGCGGCTGAAATGAGTTTTCTCCGCAAAGTGTCTGGGCTCTCTCAGAGATAGGGTGAGAAACCCGGTCATCCGTTAGGGGCTCGGAGTCGACGCGCTGCTCCTCCGCAACAAGAGGAGTCAGTTGAGGTGGCTCGGGTATCTAGTTAGGATGCCTCCTGGACGCCTTCCTGGTGATGTTTTCTGGCACGTCCAACCAAGAGAAGGCCTAAAGGAAGACCCAGGACATGCTGGAGAGACTATAGCCCCCTTCAGACAGGCCATGAAAAACGGAAATGTTCCAGACTCTGTCTGTAAGACCTTTGTGTCTGAATACAAACATCCGGATAACGTGTTCCGGAATTTATCCGGACGAAGCCCCTGGTAACAGGTCCGGACTTGTTACGGACAGGGTGGCTGCTTCAGACTGGTGAGGTAGAGTTCCGGACAAGGGGGAGGGGGAGGAGGAGGGGACCGGGGGACGCTGTGCGCACCTAGATAGCTCGCTCCTGTAGCATGCGGCAAACCACGGCAGCTCGCCTCCTACGGTACCGCCTAGACGCGCGACGGAGCGCTTCACACCGCTTCAGTGATTCCTTTAACCATTGAGCTTCATCATCCAGGTCTCTTATGCGTCTTCGTGTGCGCAGAATTATGCTTAAGCGCCTCGTGATTTTTATCTTGAGAGGCGCTATAGAAATGATATTTTCTTCTTCTTCTTCTTAACATGGGACCACATTAGAACGGGTCCCAAAACTACACCTAGACTCTTCAAACCTGGCCATTGGTCTACATTAACAGCAGCTGCTATGAAAGACAGTTGGTGATTAGTGAAACCTTTTGTTGATTTATGCTGGAATAAGTGACGCCTGAATCTCTCAGCTTCAGAGAGGATACAAAGTGCTGCTGCTCACCTGTTTAACTCGTTCACTGCCAGTGATGACTAAAGTCTTAAAAAAAACTGTAAAAATGCCGAAATACGCTGACAGCGAAGGGCTTCTGGTCATGAAACGGCTGGCAGTGAACGAGTTAACAGGAAAAAAGGAGTCTGAGCACATCACCCCGTTCTGGTCTCTTTCAATGCCTTTTAATCTCTTAATGGTCTTGCCCCACCTTACCTGCACGCACGCACGCACGCACGCACGCACGCACGCACACACACACACATCCCCTCTTGTTCCTTCAGTTGCTCCTGATTGTCTGATGGTGCTTTGGCTGCAGCAGCGCCTGGATCGTGGAAGGAGCTTCCTTTAACCCCGGCTTTCCACAGCAGCCGTCAGCAGCACGTTACTGCAGCAGCACGTCATAGCTGCTGATAGGAACGGCTGTGGTCAACAGAACCTTTTCCACAGGAGCCGTCAGCAGCCGTCAGCAGCGCGAGTCGGCCGCGTCTCAGGAGCAGCATGTCGCGGCCTTTACGCGCCGGTTCTATTTCCTACGCGCGACGCCTCTGAAACG